TGACGTTCACTGGACATCATCCACAGGTTTATGTGCGTAATGTTTGATATTAGAGATGAGAGAAGAACGAATGATGGTAGATCATTTGTTGTATGGAGTAGTTATAATGTATAACATATACGGTCACCTTTAACCATACTGTTAACTCATTGAACTTATTGGGGGAACTATTCGCTCGCTATTGATGCACGCTGTCAATCTGTACAGTGCGTACACAACCAGAGTCATCTTGTTGACTTATCTAGAAACGTGTGTGCGGCCGGTGTCAATACGATGGGAGAGTAAATTCGTAATCAAATTACATACATGCAATTGAAATGATGATAATTAAGAGCATCTTCAACCGGGTAAACGTTTAAGACTCCAAGTAGCAATAATATATATATAAATCATGTAAGACATTTGCAAGGATCGGGAACTTGTAAAATGGAATTATCTGTAGTTCTAGACCACTCTGGTCTTTCTTTTCTTTTCTTTTTTTTTTTTTTGCACATTAACTTTAAATGTACGAATAAGCGGAACCCCTACAGACAAAGAACCTAGTATAAAGGAAACGTTCGTTATTGCTAAAACAAAGAGAAAGGGAAGAGAGCAAAATCAAGGGAAAGACTATGAACTTTTAAATATGCGGTATGAGTATACATGCATAATATGCATTTTCCTTGACTTATTCACATGCCCAATCCATTCGTTACTCTTAATCACATAATATTATTGTTATTTATTGTTATTGTTATTATTTATACCGTAAGCAGGACCAATGAACACAAGTTTATTTGGTTTATGACTGCATATCGTAAAATTTTTCGAGTGTAACAATTGTATCCATTATTTCGAGTTTCACTCATCTCTATTTTGGTGAAAATAGATGATCTGTAATAAATATGACGAAGCACACATCAAAAATAAAAATAAACAATTGATTTGATGTACGTAATAATAAATCTTTTATGCATTAACTCGATTGTCCAATGAAATATTGTTTCCAGACGATCGTCATCGCAAGCCTCTTTTCTTATTGACTCTGGGCAGAGCTTGAGAAAGTAAACAACGTGTAGATAATCAAACACCTGCAACAGACTGCAATGTGTCTGCAGTGATTGTATCCCCCTCCCCTCATTCATTTCTCCTTTCTCCGACTCACTTTGATTCATACTCTTTTCCCCTTGGCTGTGATAATAAATGTAAATACTGCAATAGGAAGAATATCAGTTTCCAACATCTGTTTTATTGTTATTGATTTGATTGGTGGGAAAAAAATAGACTCGGTTGAGATAAGATCTTCTGACTCGGGACCATGTCAGTAGAATATAGATTCATTCATTCGCATATATATCGGATACGATAGTAAAATATACATGTTTACTTAGCCCGTCGCACACAAATTAAATGCAGCTGTGTGTTTTACTTAGCATTGTCGATCACATACACTAATGACAACCAAGAACAAACTGCTTTTTTAGCTGATAATGAAAGAACTGTGAACGAGCTATGTCTATGGAATGATTAATATTGCCAAGACAACGTGCAGAATCTTCTATTCGGGAAACCATTGATGTTCTGGTTAATTTATTTTCTTTTGTCCCTATTTACTTCTCTTGTCTCTCGCTTCGTTCCCCACTCTTTTCCTTTTCTCCAATCAAAATCCCAAGTTATGCCTATGGATTAGCCCTAAAAATCGTTTTTGCCCATCGTCATATAAACGCCCCTCTCCCCTTTTTTTTTCTTTTGCGCCCAATGTTATAAGTGCAGAGATATTTGAGGTTCGAGGTCGCCAATTTGTGATACAAGTAATAAATGATAATCAAAATATTTATGTCAAATTAATAGATTTTATTATTACGCATAATGTTGTATGACAAAAAATCAGGATTACGTACTCCCAAACGATCCAGGTCTCGACGCCTGGGAGTACAGATGAGCATTTAAGTTTAGCCAACATGTTATATACATGATAACAGTGTAGTAAGTAAACAATATCAAATATGTTGTAATATCATAAATACTTATTGTTTTATAATCAAAGGGGACGATCAATGCCACACACTTCCCTACCGTTTTCTGCAAACATGTGTTTCGGTTACCCGTGTCGCAAGTTTGGGACACTGACCAATGTAAATCAATAGCCTAATGCCGTTATTTAGAATGTTTTTGTTAATCATCCAAGGTAAACGTTTATATCGGTACATATTGTTCATAATGGACAAACACTGTTTCAGATTTAATATCTTGCGCATAATGCACAATTGTTTCTTGGCTTGCCAATACTTTCAAAAAAGTCTTGAGATTTTTAGTCGGGTTTTTTAGTTTAATGCTTATATGACGAATTTGGTCAAATTAAACTGATCTCCGTAAGTCTATTATTATTGTAATGTACATAAATAAAGTACAGAGTTGTGTACTAATTATTTGTATGGGTGACAATTGAAAATTATGGCAATTATCCTAAAATTACCGAATAGTCACATTAATACAATTTTTTCCGTCGTCGCACCGATCTCGAACGCATATCCAATTCCATGCTTTTTTCCCTCAGTTGTTAAGATGTGAATGTGGCTCCCCCCTTGTGAAACTTGTTTGGAAACACCACATTCGATTGGCCGTTGATCAATCGATAAACTTTCCCTTATCGGAATTAAGTGAGTATCAGAAGATAATTTCTAACAAATGAGAGAATAGAAGGTGGTTCGATATATATAACGAAAGAAGCGGGAGCGAAAGCAAGCGCGAAAGAAGGTGAATGTTTGATCTCAACGAGAGAAACCATCATTTGATGTAACGTGAGGGTCAAGTGATTGGCCAGTCAAATCCCCCAAAAATTTTCCGCATTTGCAAAATGTTCACGTATACCGAAAAACGCCATATTGAAGGTATTGTTTCCGGCAGTTTGTAAATAGGTAGTAATTGTATTTTATTCTCAAGAAGGGTTCGGATAGGCTTTGTATGTATGCTAGATGATAAGGATGCGTATTAGATAGTTCCTGTCATTACGATTATTTCGTTCTTTCGACGCAACACGCTTATAACCATGATGCATTCGGCATCGCGCATTCGGAAAACGGTTTCCGGGAAGATTGTTCAGATACTCTCGTGGGGGGAACATCTATAGATAATAGGAATGCACAGTAGTCTTGTCAATACGATCATTCTCACCTCTTCAACGCAACATGCTATTTACATAGGCATCGCACATTCGGAAATGTTTTTTTCCCTCTCTCCGACCGCGGCATTTTGACTGTTGGGCTATTTTTATTGAAGCCGGGGGCGTAACTAGCATCGAAAAGACGAGGAGGAATAATCACGTAAGAAAAGCAGAAACCCATTTTTCTGGCGAGTTTGATTGAAAGGAGAAATATAGCACGGAATTTATAAAAATAAATGATTGTCGATGCATTAATGAGGGTTTAGCCGACCGCCTACTCTCTAACACACTTTTTCTCATTTATAAATGATAATTAGTCTCTATCTACTGCAAGTAAACATCGAGATTCATTATCTCCAAACCAAGATGACGATATTCGCACATAACGCAATGCCGATTACAATTGTTAAAGGGATAGATTACTTTTATCGGACGTCTTTTCTTCGTCAGCATACAGGATCTCAGCCAATCCCTTCTTCTTCTTGAATACCCGAGAGCCGGAAGAAAAAAAAAATCTCACCGAAGAAAAACCCGACGACAGCTGGTAAAAAAAACTATATGGTTGTGAAAACGAGAAAATCGACTGGTTGAAACGAAAAAGGCGGGTTAAGAGAGAGCCTCCCCCGAAACTGTTGCTGATCTTGAAGGTATAGTATTGATGATAATATCAGCTCTTTTCTATCAGTTGGAACCGATACTAGTGTGATGATTTCTAAGTGATTATATGATATAGGAACGTGATAGCATTTGAAATGTCACTTTGTTCTTGCCAACCCAGGTGCATAGTCGATTAAATTCGATTTGGAACGAAACTTTTTAAAGAAATTAGGAAGTTTCGACTGGCGATGGTTTCCAAAAGACTTGTAGCTAAAAGTTGCGATTTTTTTAGATAATTCAGTTTCCGCTATAAAGGAAGAGCGAACGAACGAACGAATGAACTGACAAGCGAACAAACAATAATAATAGTAATATAATTAGTATACACAGTCGATTCTTTAATTTAAAATAGAGCAGTATAATTATTTATCAGTTGTATATATGAAGATAGTGTAGTCTGTATAAAATTGTATGACGTAGAGATGAAAAATTTTTTTATTTATTCATGGCAACTCACAGATGTTCACTTTTGTTTTATTAGTACGTAAATAATAATCAAATATCGTTGTTTGTCGTATACTATATTATATTATACCTTGACAGGCAACCAATCAAAATCGGCATACACTTATATTGCATGGTATGTATATTATATGATTTTAATATTACATTATTAATATTGCATTACATCATATATGCATCTTACTTGTTTCTAAATATTTTTGCTCCCATCATTACAATAATGGCATCATTGGTCCTACGAGGCTATTCTATTTCAGTGATATGTCCCCAAACACTCACATATTCAGTTTATAAACTATTCACGCGACAAGTTAAATAAAAACCCTTTAACTGGCTCGGGAGAAATGCTCAACAGTAGTTTATCTAAACATCTCATAACCATTTACATTCACTCCCCCACGCCTCATTTGTTGTCAACAGAAAAAAATTCGAATAAAAAGGGCGATAAGACTTTTCCCTTACATTTCGACATCAAAAAAAAAAGTCGATAGTTTTCATGTCCGTTAATGTTTACCCGATACTAAAAAGATTGTAACTCTAAGAAGCCTTCATTGCAATCCATTCTAAACGTCTTATCGGCTAGTACTAAGATCACTAAATAAGCACAACTGACTAAGAGACCCCCCTACTAACTATCAATACTACAAAGCTTACTCAATAACGACAACACTATACTAAACATAAACGTTGAGTTTCCTTTCCTCCCCTCTCCTTTTCAATCGTTTCCCGTCAGGCAACTATGGCTCGTTCATCGACCTCGCAGCTATTGCCTCCAATTACAACATTTCAACCAACTCAACCGCAACGACAATTACCTTCTCCTCCTATCCTACCTCCAGTATCATGTCTTGCTCCGCCACCGTCCTCGATATTATCGTCTCCGTCCAACGAACACAAAATCCCTAGTCCTCCATACATTTCTCAATTACCACCTTACATCCAATCACCTCCGGCGGCTAAGCGTCAGGTAGATGGATATCAAATGACTGATCGAGGGAACATACAAGTGGGTGCTAATCACTACGCATACGGTGAATACAATCATACGAGTTATCCACAAGGTCATGTTACTGCAAATCATATAACACAACCACAACCGCAACCGCAACCGCAACCGCAATCACATCCACAACCACATCCACATCCACATCCACATCCACACTTAATCCATCCGGTTTCCCCTTCCATTGTATCTCCGATATCTCACCCTTCACCCACCACTCCCACCACTACCAGCGCTCACCTGAATCAACAGGCACATCCGTTCTACACGGCTGCTATCACAGCTCGACAACAACAGCAACAACCACAACCACAGCCGCCACAGCCGCTACCACAACCGCAGCCGCAATCTCTTCCCCAAGCTCCTCTTCCGCATCATCATCATCATCATCCCCAATCGCTCCATCATCATCCATACTATTCCCAGCGTCATCCTCAAACGGTCGATCCTGCGTCTGAACTATTGGCAGAGAAACGTCGTCGTAATGCCGGTGCTTCGGCTAGGTTCCGTGATCGCCGGAAGCAAAGAGAAAAGGAAATGCAGGAAAAATGTCAGTACTTGGAAAAACGTATCCAGAAACTGGAAGGTCTGGATAGTGTCAAGAAGATCAACGAGCTGGAAAAGAAATTGGAAGAAGCGAACAAGGAAAACGAGTCCTATTTGAAGAAGATCAAAGATTTGGAGTCGCAGGTAATTAGGAAATCTGAGGGGAAAAAAAGGGATGTGGGAGAGAGAGGGGAGAGAGGGGAGAGAGGGGAGAGAGAGAGAGCATTGTGTACAAGTGTGAATGAGAATGTGATTTTGTGTGAGAAAGAGAGATATGTAACATATATGCAGTAGGAATGCTAGAGAGAGAACAAGAAAATTATATATCATACTGTGATTGAACGATCAGTTGCAAGAGATAGGTAATCAATCAACGGTAAAATATTACTAGTATATCTAATTAAATCTCTCTTTCTCGTTAATTATGTACCACCTACAATTCACGTGATACCTTTTTGTTACTTTACAATCTCATTTCTTATTCACACCAACCCCATTGCTTCACATCAATACCATTTTCCTCTTCCATTCTACTACTTTCTTATTCTTCTTCTTCTTCTTCTTCTTTAATCGCCTCCCCTCCCCTCTTTTCCCCCACCCCCTTACCCTAATATTTCTCGTTAACAAATCGTTCTTTTACTCAATCAGATCGAGCAATATCGCTCGGAAGAGGACCGCAGCTACGAGATCCCAACACCATCCCCGTCATCAGGCGATCATTATATCAGTAATGGGTCTGTGACGGACAAGGATGACTTTGATCGGTCTGCCAGGCAATTCCAATCGCCAAACTCACCGGATGAGGATGGCGAATCAAGCTCGGAAGCAATGTCAGGTGTAGAGACAAAGATGGCCAAGCTGACTGATGTCAGAGCTTTGTTGTTGCCATAAAAAAAGTGGTGGGAGGTGTGAGGTGTGAGGTGTGAGGTGTGAGAGAGTGTACGTGTTTTTATGTGAAGGAATGACTTATACGAGAGAAAGGAAGGTGTGGAGTTTGGATGAATGAGATTGGAGAGACTATGGTGCAGATTGTAAAGGAGGGTTAATATTATTGCACATGGACAATGATTCTAATAATGTTATTCTACGAACTAGAGTGAATGAAAAAATATATATATAATTTATTTATATATATATATGTACATTTGTATATATATATTATAAGCAATCCGTAAATTTTTTCAGGAGCTCTATTTTCTTATTTTTATTTTCCTCCTTTTCATCTGCAAAAAAAAAAAAAACAAAAACAAAAAGACACCAATGATTTCATATCCCTATGGTTATAAGAGTATTATTTTTTCTTCTTTACCCACGTAAGTCTTTAACAACAAAAAACCGGATAACGAATCTTTAAAGAAGCGCTCGATGGAAATTCGTTCTTCGAGTAAGTGATGAATTCTATGATTAATTTATGGAGGTGAAGAGAGAAGAGAGAAAAAATTATAATGTATGATCAATTGTCGGTTTATGGAAAATATTTTCAACATGTTTGGTGACAAATATATAATACTGAACTACATCTCTATTTTTTCTTTAATCATTTTTCTTAACTGTACTCGTACTATTCATCGGCGATGACAAAAAAAGGCCTTTATGTTATATTTTTTATCTTTCGGCTGCTCATATTAAAGTTGATAAGTTGTCTCTTTTTCTTTTTCCTGTATGATAAAACCCACACAATTTCCTTTTTGATGTCTATTTTGTTTTCACGCTCTTATTGCCGCCGCCTTTTTCTCGCTCCATTATGTTTTACTAGTTTGAATGAACGAATTACGTTATAACTTTTTTATGTATGGCGTCGTTTATTTGATGAGAAGGGTCATTTCATAATGCCATTATATATTATCCCTTGGTCTTTTTTGGTTCATGCTCATTGTTAAGTTTATTGGTTTTAGTTATCGCTATTATTTTTACTATCTATATTCGATTTACCAGAACTTTTGTGTTACGAAAAAACATTTATATCATGTGAATGTATTAGTATGGTCAATAACGTATCCTGGTCATATCCAGTTATTAATTCGTTCCTCATTGGGTGCCTATTACTGATATTTGTTTGATATGTTTATAATTTCTTACTAACATCTTGTAAATATAGTAGTTTTGCTAATTGGATTGTTTGACATGCTGATAACGACATTGCGCCGCAGATGTGCGTTGTGGCGTTATGTGCGTAATCTTGCCGTACAGTTATCTCGTCCCGAATAAACATCATACTATATATATTATATTTATATAAATCAGAACGGGCTTGAGTGATCGATCTTTTGCATAATTAAGTGAAGACAATTGAGAAGACAATGTTTGTTGTGCAATTTATGCACTGTTAGTATAATGACGTAAAGTAATTATTCCTCGGCTCGGCGCAAACTTCACAATGAAACATATTTGTAATAGTCCATTCACTCTCTTCTTGATAAATAACTCGTTATTGACCAATGGCGTGTCGAGTATGCGCAGCTCCCCCGCGTCATTTGCTTGTTGGCACAAAATAATTATGAAACGGTCACGTTACGTGCGTGTGTATGTATGTATGTATGTGTGTATGTGTGTATGTGTGTATGTGTGTATGTGTGTATGTGTGTATGTGTGTATGTGTGTATTGCTGGAACGTAAGCGAGATAAGAGATTAACCTAACAAAAATAAAACTAATGCTGTGAAAATATTCACGCAGCCAGTGTTGGCCCGTTTTCCCCAACGATCTAAATATGTGCTTGTGCCTTGCTTGGTCGCTTTAGTGAATACTCCGACCTCTATGTATCAATTGATAGAGCTTTTATTTTAAAAGGCTCTCACATAAAAAGATTGATTATGTGAGAGCAGGGGCTTATCAGGTGAAAATGGCTCGGGGCATTATGACATACAACACGAAATACCGGTCCCCCATAGTCATCCCTTTTTGTATGGATGGAACTTGTCCCTTAATAGCAAACAACTAATAAACAACTTATCCTGCGAAAAGCTGTGCAATGCTTTGATAAGCACGATAAGATTGCTGTCCGATGTAAATAATCTGATTATGGAAACGGGTGACGCCCTTCAATGTTAAAATATCGCCATTCAAACAAAAAAAAATGCAAATACTCGCAAAAAATTATTGTATCGTTGCATCGTTGCATCGTTGCATCGTTGCATCGTTGGGGCCCATCCCCGCCTAGATAAGATATCGCAAAAATTATGCTTATTCAAAAGATTCGGCCAAATTTACGCCACTAGCGCAAAACAATGTCACGAGGCCCGAGTTTATCTTGTGTTCGTTTAGAGTGTCGGTACCCTCCAAAGATGGTGGTTATGATGAACAATGGACTATTATTTGCGTCTTTTAGAACTACAATTATACATCTTATAGTATAACATAACAGTACAATAGTTTGTTTCAATGATGTTTATTCTTTGGCAATTCAATTTTGTAGCTGCCAATAAAGTAGCATTCTTCTATTATCTTGGCAATTGGGCTTCAAAGACAAGTAATGTGTTGCTGTAGCTCGTTTCGCATGTTTCCAACTGCCATAATTGATTTGGTTTGGGCTTGGCCTGCTTGATTTTGTTCTGAGTAATGTGTTTGATTTATTATTATGTACCAACAATCTCAGTGATAATGGCATCGGTGATGGTGTTCTACTGACATGCTGTATGTTACAGGATTGTTTCCCTCTGCATGAATGTGCTTGTTTGTTCCGCCTCTTTTTGTTTAGTATTCTATTGACATTAGCATAAATGATTACCAATGTTAATCACGTGAGTATTTTTTTAAAGAAAAACCGAGTACTAGTATTAAAATATTGAGACAAACCTTGCTGAAATGGGCATTGTTGCAACTAAATTCAAGTTTGAGTAGCGGTGATGGCAAGTTTGTCCCTTCCCGTTCTGATAGTTGCAACTAATTAATCACACAATATCACATAATTATCCGCATCTGTAACAGATAAGTAGAAATACTCTATGGCATACCTGAGACGTTTTAGGTACTAACAGATAAAGTAACGCGTATGCGTGCGAATTATTGCCTAAGACGTTATTCAACATGATCAGAGCACAGGTACGATTATAGGCTACGAACAATTATAGCATGGATTTGTCCCGCGTCGACCTTCATCATTAAGCTAAATTAGTATTAATTGAGGATCGCTCTTTGTTACTACACAGATCGAAACATACCCCAAAACTCATCCGTGATGGAAGTGGTCTTCAAAATGGTATAGGTTCAGAAACCGATCATACCACCGCTATCGTCTATATAATCATCATCCTTTATAGCGCGTATTATCTGTAGTTATTTGTCTTGCGTCAATCGATTGGTTGTTGTGATCTGGAGATTCTGGTTGTCTCTCTATTTGCATAATTGATATCATTGTATTAAATGCAAACACGAAGCTACATGCAATTGACCCTCCCCCAGCAATTACTACAAAGAAATACCATCTGCGTCAACGTTCCACCTTTTGAGAAACAGAACCACGAACGTATTTCGGAAATGCACCGTTATTCCTCGCGTCCTCTCGTATGATAATTGTTATTACTATTGCTCAAGGCCTTCGAAACGCTGGATCATAGCTTGACTCTTCTTTGATGGAGAATTTTGCTAGTCGAGACTCACTTGTTGAACGATAGAAATCGCTGATGAGAGAGCACCTAGCAAAGATTTGCGTTCAGACAACCGCCGTTCAATAACAAGTAGGAAAGCATGCTATTCATACGAATAATATAATAATACATACCTGACAATCAATAACGGCTTTGTTAATCGCGGACAAACCGTATGACTTTACCTCGTGGATGAATGGTCATGCTAAAATCAGTCAAAGAACATACATGCTGTTTCTCGTCATGTCATGTAGCCTGTGAAATGTCACAAGTTTCTTGCAAACTTGAGTGGGGGAGTGCATTTTCATAGCAGTTACAATATATTTTCCAGTCTTGAACAAAGGCCTGTTTTCCATGTTTCTCCATGATATCCCAATCACATGGTCCAAGTTGGCTAGAGAGCGGAAATGTTTGTCAGCGCTTGAATTTACCGAGTGATTCAGGACATTTGATTTGTCGATTAATTACCTGATGAAATCTCGCGACTCCCTCGTAAAATAACGACTGATGGAATAAACGATTGTTCAATTATACTTGGAATTTGAAAGATAGAACTCCTTGCCTAGCAGACGATTGGGGGAAAAGCCGTTATTGAGACATACTCGTGTATTCAGAGCTCATGTAAACAGTTCAATTAATACAATCTTCTCACCGTGGACTAGTGCATGTCTAGCTGCAATGTTTGATCTTGCTAAACCTTGTGAATGCGAACCCTCAAACAAAAATAGTTTCCATGTCAAAGCCAGAGATGTTTAATTTAGTTTAGTTGTTCCATCCATCAATACATTCCATCTCGTCTAACTGGCCCTGACGTTACGCTGCTCACCTTACTGTTAATGTATTAAACATATGAATCAATTATCATATGACAATGATAACCTTACCAAGGTCAATGCGACGGACAGCGTCAGTTTCCATCACACCATACGAGAGCTAAGGTCTAACCAGTTAAAGACCTTCCAGCTTCCGAGCCCGTTGTCAATTAACTTACAAGGTAAAATAACCGGCGGACTTCTATCCGAGCAAATATCCGTCCAAAGGAAATTCTTCAATGCAACAAAATGAAATATCTTCAACTTTGGATTATCTTAGTTTCGGACTCCTTGTTTTTGATTCTATGATGTCTTTTTTCTTTCTGTCTGGTCTTGTCAGCAGAGAAGCTTTGGGTTATCGCCTTTTGGTTATCCTCTTTGAACATTTGGCTTGGGAAACTTTATAAAGTTTATTGTTCGTCGCTCAGAGATCTTTTTTCTTCAGAGAGACACGCGAACTTTCGACATTCTCCAATACAACGTTACACAAATCAGTCATGTTAGCAAAGCATTATATAAACAACAATTGGATTCCTATGTCAAATGTTTAAAAGTCGTTACCATTCTATTACGGCGTAAATTACATTCCAGGAGGCCTCAATATGACAAAACAAAATATCCTCGGTTTCGGCTTTTTTTACTTTGTCTGGTTAGCTTGATTCATTTATATAAGCATTTGTTACCAAGACGACCTTTGAACAAAAAGCTTTACCCCTTAAAAGCAGAGTATTGATGGCAGCATCTTGAGTTTTGAAGCGTGAACTTTTTACCTTTCACCTTGGCAGTGTCATTATTCTATTCAATTTGGACAATCAGAACAATTTGCTCGTTTGTAGGAAAATTTTACTTTAAATTTGATAAAAATTTCTGGTACTAGTTAGAAAGGTATTCTGAGCTCCCCCCCCCCAAAAAAAAAGATTTGTTTCATAGGTAATATGCGTATTTGTGATTGTTTCAATAATAATACGATTCAATTTCACTCTCTAATCAAGAATGTCTGCGAATATGAAAGAATCCTGTAACTCCCACCACAACCATTCGTTCTGGTTTTAATATTGATTATTACTGTACGCAAATACATATTAATATTAATATGACCACATATTACGCAATAATCCGCGTGTAACGTGTGTTCACGAAAATATACCGTTTAGTTTTCCAATAACCCGGTTGAGAATGCATGTGTCAATTGTCTGTTTATGTCACCATTATTCGTTTTATTGATGCATTCATTCGAACAAACAAAATAACTTTTTTTTTATACAAGACATTTTAAACTAAACAATATGCCCTTCTATTCCAACCTTGTCAGTATACAGTAATCGCAATAAATTCAAAATTTTCACGTCGGACCAAGACGAGACGCTTAATCGATTCAAGGCCAGTTTGCGTTCATAAAGTTCCAAGTTTGTCTTAAACCACGCGCTATTAATATTCGGATACTCCGCTTCAAATATTTAAACGATTATATTGGCGAGTTATTACACCAATATATTAACATTGTTATGCTATTTACATATTCGGTAGTTTCCTTTCAATCGTATGATTCCAAATATGCAGGTATGAAAATCATACGATCAGAAAAAATCATACGATCAGGCAAATCATATGACATTCATTGCACCAAACATAATGTGACTAGCTTTTTTAATAATTAAATTTTACATTAAAAAAAAAGTTTTTTCGACCCCTCAACAAAAATAGTGTTACAACCCTGTTTCTGCTTCAAGAAAGCAAACCCTGAACAATAACGTCGCACAGTTCCCAAATTTATCTTATTATTCATATTCATGTTCTTCCCACGGACAATCGTGCAGAGAGATAGTCTTTACCGTTGTCAAATAGTTTACTATCACTCGCATTGTTTGTAATGACCGTTAAAATAAAAAAGTCGAGTTTAACTCGCACATTTGAAAAAGTCACCAAGTTGTTTAAGAGGGTGTGTTTGTCTGTCTCTTTTTATTTTAATCCGACGGGGACACAGATATTCATACAAGTAAGGTCAGTTTGTCTTTCGGTATCGCAGCTATGTTTTCTATACAGCAGCAATAATCGGTTTTAATTGCTCAATAAACTTGTTCTATAGATACACGCTGCATTTCTCGTGAGTTAACTACGACTAAAAAGTTACCGGCATAGTTAAAAAAATTTCAATCTGTGACTTACAAATGACATTCATATAGTCGACCTTTCCCTATTTACGATTCCCGACTTTAGTTTGTTAGCTGCAACATTTTCGGTTAAATAACTGGACAAAAGTATGGAACTGACGGCATTAGGGCTGGTTTTTGCTACGATACAGTAACGACTGTCAGAGTGATAAGCAGAACGTGAAGCGACGAGATGACTCAATTGTATGCTATAATGTCGATTTTAATTACTTGCTAGTACAGTAAGCATCCCAACTAAAACTAATTTTGATACCTTCAATTCTCACAGAAAAAGAAAGCCAAACGCAACAAGCAAGGGGATATCTAGCCAAAAAGCAATTGAATGAGAAAACAAAATATCGACAGGAATTATTTTTCTTAAAAAACAATTAAGGCGACGATTATATTACAACAGAAAGCTAACCGTCTACTGGAGAATATTCCAAGGAATGGTCGGACCACCGATTGCATAATCTTGTTTTATATCTGAATGTAGAAACAACGACAGAAGGACGCTGCGATATCTATAGACGATTAAGAAAGTCGACGAATTACCCATGTAGTTTTCAATTGCCGAAAGGGATCGACAACGCTGAGTGTTCCGGTTTTCTCAACTTGTTCGTCGTCATTATGTGAAGCGCACATTATGCGTGAAATTCTTTATACGACAATCTCAAAAGCTTTAGAGAATTACAATGTTGCAACTGATCGAGAAGAATACATCGAAAACTTAATTTTTAAATATTTGATAGTAGATGTAAGTATCTTCGACACATCAATTTAAAATATGATTTGCTATTGTCATATCAGTTTTTCACTTGTATTGCTACCGAGGTTATAGTAGTAAATGTCCCGTTGGGTTTTTTTAGATTGTTCTATTGGTGAAAAGTAACGTTCCTTAAATTACCGTGTTTTATGTCCTCGTACAGGAATATTTTGAAGAGCGATCGATCATTAGTCATATCACATATGGCATATTAACAACAGTCACTGTATGTTTATTTATAATCGATTACATCTTACCACCATCCGAGGATTTAATTGCAGTAAGTTGACACTGCTGATTTATTTTTATTAACCGAGACAAATGATTGAAAAATCTGTTTGCAAATAGGAAAAATGTATTATAGGCACGAAGCTATGGACAAACCACATAATGTCGCATAAAATAATGACCTCTAAAACGCAAAGAATCAAAATTTTTATACCGAATACATCATTCAACCTGCAGCATCAACGAAATTCATATAGTAAATATGACATTTTACAGTCCCACATGAGCTTATTCGACTCAATATTGATTTTTAACAGAATGCGTGGATTGTGTAAATGTTCTAGCTTGGTTCTATACAACATTTTACCGAGCGAACTAGTGTGCAAGTTTCGAGAGAGACCTTTCGCGCGTTTGCCAACATTCTGTCCAATCACAAGAAAACAGCTGACCTCATTGTACCAATAATATTGTGACACTTGAACTAGAAACCCCGATTGCGCAGAAAGAATATGCGGATAAACGAAAATTTAGTAATAGTAGGTATCAATCGTTTGTTTCTCTCAAGTCCAATTCGACTCAAATCAAGTCTCATATTCCACAAAAAAAATTTTTTTTTTAAAGTATGGAAATAAAGTCATACTGGTCCCATATCGTCGTGAACATGTACTTACCTACCACGAATGGATGCAATCGAAAGAGATACAAGAACTAACCGCTTCGGAACCGCTTACCATTGAGCAAGAATACGAAATGCAACAGAGTTGGTTGATTGACGATGACAGTAAGTTTGTGTTTTGGAATGGGGCGGGGTGGGGTAAAGGGAGGAGGAGAAGGAGGAAAATGCCAAATGGATGTGAGTCATGACCATCCCCCATCACATGCACAGAGCTTACGTTTATCGTACTCAAGAAATCAGACGAATCTACCAGTAGTCTGCGCGAACTGATAAAGATTTCAAGTGAGTTTCAATGGCGACAACAAAAAACTTGCCATGTACATGGGCTTACCGTGAGACGCTTTCATTTAGAGATGGTAGGAGACGTGAATTTGTTCTTGAACGATCCCGATGATAGGTCCATTGCAGAGGTAGAAGTTATGATCGCAGGTAAGAACAAAAGAAAGAGAGATTGTTAACCAAGATCTAATCATATGTGGTTGAAACATATATATTGTTCCATGTCCGTTGCTTGTTTCCTTGCCATCTCTCACATTTAACCACTAAAAAATAATCTACTCATCTTTACACAGACCCGACAGCCCGCAACTCTGGTCTTGCGACAAACTCTCTCCTTCTTCTCTTTCATTACGCAATATATACGCTTGGGATTAGGAAACTGGTGGCCAAAATATCCATGAAGAATCAACCGTCTTTGCAGTTGTTTACAAAACTGGGATTTAAAAAGACGAAATCTGTAGATATTTTTCAGGAAGTACATATGGAACTGGTGGTCGAGGAGAACGTCAAGAATTGGATCAGGGAGAGAATTGGCGAAACGTTGGATGTCGGGACGTATGAAGAGGAAAGTTGGGAAGTGAAACGAGATTGTGGGCAGACGTTATAGTTGGGCGCGGGACGTGTCATGTTATCGGAGATGAAAAAATCCCGATCCGATTGGCCCCCCCCCCCCCCCCCCCCCCCCCCCCCCCCCCCCCCCCCCGCCCCCCCCCCCCCCCCCCCCCCCCCCCCCACCCCCCCCCAACACCAAAAACACCCACCGTCCCACC